GGATCTTCCTCTCTGTCTCTCCTCTCTGTATATCCGCCTTTCCAATAAAAAAAAATAAATAAAAATGAATCTTTAAAAGAATACACTGTTAAATCATATTCATTTAGAGTAGAATTAGGTTCTTGATAAATACAACTTTTTAAAGATTTTCTTGTTACAGAGAAGCTCATTTTACTGATCCTCATTGTTCTTGTTCTGGGTATAAGCAGTGGTAACAAGATTTTTAAAAAACAATATAGAGTTAAATTCATTTCTGTGTCCACCTGTTTGCCGTTCCTAGGACTAGTCGTATCATATTCTCCCATATTTCCCTTTAATGAAGCGAGTTGCTGTCCTTCCATTAGTGAAGACATGTGTTAATTTCTCTCCAAAGCATTCATCATCGTGAGGGCTAGTCCCTTGTTAGCAGGCGTCAGATTATTAGATTAATATGGAGTATGCAGGTGAAGGTGGATTTGCCATGTAGAAGGTGATACACCACGTGACATGGTTGCCAGAACAAGCACCATTCATAATGGCCATAAACACAAAACACTGTGCTTCCGACTGTGTGTGCAAGTCAGACGCTTGGGAACCTTGGCCTCTCCGAGCAGGGGATGTTACTAAGGCTAGAGCTAAAACTCAGCTTCAGGATTGACTGACTGCTTAGCTTTTTGAATGAATACCTCCAGTGACTAGCAGCTTATCTATCACAAAGATGTTTCCCCACCTTTGCTAAGTGCACTCCATTCTTCATACTACCTTCCCTTTTCTTCTAGGCGGTATTGCTCACATAATAAGGACCACAACAGTACTGTGTGCTTACTCATATAGGCAATGTGTACAAGACCTAAAGAAGCATGAGTTTGTGTACTACTCTTAAAACCTTTATAAAAGAGACTGTATTATATTGTATCTCCACATTCCAAATGAAAGTAATGAGACTTAGAAAAGCAAGAAATGTGCTCATGTAAAGAATACAATTAGGAGTCGATTTCTTTTGCTAGATTAAAATTAAAAGTAAGATTCATGTATTCTTAATCCTTGAGTCTTTTATACAGTGCCTGATTTTTCGTAGGCCAACAGGGCTACTAATACTGGCTGAGGAGCTAGCAATAAGAGTGAATCAGAAAGGAAGAGTGGTAGTGTTGTCCCACAAGCGTATCGCGAAGTGATTCTCTTTGGACCAAAGGATGACTTCCTAATAAAGAAAAAATATTCATTTCTTTAGGGACCATGATCAACTTAGTGTAAGCTGACACAGCCAGTGTTTAAGACTGCCATTAAATATCTCAGATTTCTTTCACATATCTTCATTTTTGTATATTGCTAAGTCTTTATACAAGTTTAACTGTAAATTCAAATACTGGGCTCATCAAGAAAATAGGAGTGACATTGTGTCCCTGATATCGAGTTTTGAAGAACCTGGTCCAGCTCCCCACCCCATCTTTTCTCCTTTGCCTGTGCTATTTTTTCTGGCTTCCCCTCCTGACTCGGCTGTTTTCCTCAAACCATCACACCCTGTTGCCTCACTCTGCCAAGTCTCATGTAACCAGGCACTACAGATGCGGCAGCGCTTAGCCTCAAAAGGGCTATTGCTGGCTCGAGAGTGCTCTGTCCCTCTGGCGTTTCTTGGTGTGGCTGCTGCTGGTCTCTGCCATGTTCCCTTGGCACTGGAGTGTCCTTGCAGAACTCTAATGTTGTCCGACTGTGTAATTTAATGCTGAGGGTCATTCTTTGTGCGTTTTCCTGTGTTTAAAATGTTGGACCTGGGTACTTTGTCACTCTGAATCCTTGATTCTGTTCGTGATATAGCTGTTTTGTGTTTTCATTCTTAGCTAGTAAATCTTTTTGCTTGATAATGCTCCTCTGATTGTTTGAAGGTTCTGGTCCCTTGTTTCTCTCTTAAATTCACAAACAGTATGTGTAGTCAGATTTTTAACAGACTGGTAAGTCGTAAGCCCGGAGTTGGCATTGGGGGCACAGCGGGGTTGAGCTGTGCCTTGGTTGTGCCTGTATCCCTGTCTAAGTGTCTGGGTTCATAACCTGCTTCTACTAATCCAGTTACCTGCTGATCCCCAAACAGGAAGGTAGAAGATACTGGACCAAGTGATGGGACCCCAGGCACCGCCATTGGAGGCCTACATTGAGTTCCACCTTCCTGGCTTTGGCTTTTCCAGCCCTAGCTGTTGTGGACATTTCGGAAGTGAAACAGTGTGTGGAAGATATGCCTCCTCTGTCATTTTGCCTTCCAAATAAATAAACATTTTTAAAAATGTAAATAGACCAGGGTGTTCCAGGTTGAACAAGCACTGGATTTAGGGTCTGGATTCAGGTTTGTTGAGCCCCCAGGGGAGCATGTTACAAGTCTCTGTATTTTGTTGCTAAGCTTTCTCTCCTGAACCAACCCTTTTTACTTTTCAAATTGGCTTCTTTGTAGGGTAGAAAGAATAGAGCATATGTGAACAGCCTGAATAGGCTTTCCTCTTTCTTATGTAGTTTTCTCCAAATAGTTTGTCCTACATTTGTATCTTTTGCTATTAAAGTAATTCCGAAGAGGCCACCATTGTGGCATAGTTAATTAAGCCACCATTTGTGACACTGGTATCCCAATCAGAATGGGGTCTTGGTTCTTTTGCTGCTGCTTTTTTTTTCTTTAATTGAGCAGTAATTGTCTTATAATCAGAACTTTTTTATTTAAGATTTATTTTATTTTTATTACAAAGTCAGATATACAGAGAGGAGGAGAGACAGAGAAGAAGATCTTCCATCCATTGATTCACTCCCCAAGTGACCGCAGCGGCTGGTGCTGCGCAGATCTGAAGACAGGAACGAGGAGCTTCTTCCAGGTCTCCCACGTGGGTGCAGGGTCCCAAAGCTTTGGGCCGTCCTCAACTGCTTTCCCTGGCCACAGGCAGGGAGCTGGAAGGGAAGCGGGGCTGCGGGGATAGAACTGGCGCCCATATGGGATCCCGGGCGTGCAAGGTGAGGACCTTAACCACTTGCGCCACCGTGACGGGCCCCGTATTTTTTTTTTAAAGATTTATTTTTATTATGTTTTATTGGAAAGGTGGATATACAGAGAGGAGAGACAGAGGGGAAGATCTTCCGTCCAATGATTCACTCCCTAATTGAGCGCAACGGCCGAGACTCTTCCCGGTCTCCCACGCGGGTGCAGGGTCCCAAAGCTTTGGGCCGTCCTCCACTGCTTTCCTGGACCACAGGCAGGGAGCTGGAAGGGAAGCGGGGCTGCAGGGATAGAACTGGTGCCCATATGGGATCCCGGGCGTGCAAGGCGAAGACCTTAACCACTTGCGCCACCACGCTGGGCCCTGAATTTGTATTTTTAAACCCTAACCATGAAAAGTTGAGCAAGACCCTCGGAGCATAACCCACATCAGGGACCTGGAGTGGATGGGAGACTGGGTGGGGCTTCTTCCTTTATCACCCCCTTTGCCCCGGATACATGGAAACAACAGTATGGAAATAAGTCTTAAAATAAAAAGAAATTTGTATTTTTAGATTTTTGACACTCCACTCTATAATATTTTTAAACATTTTTTAATTTGAGAGTCAAGGAGAGAAAGATACCTCCCAACCACTGCTTTATTTCCCAGATGGCTGTACCAGGGCTGGAGCCAGGAGGCGGGAGCTGTCTTCATGTCTCCCTCCTTGGTGGAGCAAATCAGTTACTTACATTTGCTTCCTAGGATATGTATTAGTAAGAAGCTGGAATCTGGACTTGGAGCCAGGAGTTAAATCCAGGCATTTGGATGTGGGATACAGGCACCGTAACCACGTTAGGTACCTGTTCCTGAAGTTCCTTTTTCTTCTTTATTTCCAAGTCTTTTTCTACATTGGAGGTTTTATATATACACATACACACATATACATACAGTATAGTTGTCTTCCCTTATAAACTACTGAGTTTGTATTTCCTTCACTACTAGCATGAGGATTACAGTGGAGAAATGTTATTTTTAAGTAATACTTATTCTTGCCCTAGGTACTGACCCTTTATACCCTTTATAGTTAAACTTCATCACACACACACAAAAATTCATCATAAATGTGCTCATATTGGACCCAGGGTTGTAGTGCAGTGGTTTAAGCCACTAATGCCATCTGCAACACTGATACCCCAAATGAGTCCTGGTTCCCTTCAGAGCCAGCTCCCCACTAATGCACCTGGAAAGGTAGCAGAAGATGTCCTAAGTTCAAATAACTCAGTAATAAACTCAAATAATAGTGTCCTATCTTTCAAATAAATAAATAAGTCTTTTAGGAAAAAAAAGTACAGTTCTTTAAAAACAAATGCATCCTCTTGAAAAAAAAAATTGTAAGTCTGCAGCTAAGAATCTGTAATTACCCCTCTCCTCCTGCCAAGCCCTAACAGTTTTATTTTAAACATCTATTTAAACTTTGGGTTTAGTACTGTACTAGTTGCTGAGCACCGGCAGAGGGAGCTCCAATGTGCCTTTCCTGATGAATTTAGCTGTCAAATTGAAACTGTAGGTTTATGTAAAAGGAAATAAACTGAAGACTTAACACATGAATATACAAGTGATCAGAGCTACTAAAGGATGTGATGTTCCTTAACTGTTGTGGGAAAAGTAATTAAACTTTGATCTACGTGCTCTTAAATAAACCACCCTCAACTATAAATACCTCAAAAAAAGTTCTTTACAGTGTATTTAACCTCATGTACACGGTCTGCCAAACAGTGCAAGGCTTTGCAAATCCAGACACTGAACGTACACGTGAGCTGGTGAAGGAGGAGCTGTGGTGCTGCTTTCCAAAGCCAGGTGTAGTGAACTGGTTGTTTACAATGCTGGCAAGGCCATGTGAAGGTGGACTGCTGACTCATTGCTCAGGTTCGGGAGAGACGGAAAATGCTCACTGTATTTGTAGCTGTTACACAGTCCAAAAAACTTGAAACCAGAATCAAGGAATGCTCCATCCACAGCCTCTGCCTGTGATTGGAGGGCTGCTCCTGATTATCATTGTTGGTTTCTCTCTAGACCCCAGAAGAAAATACCACGTGAGGCTGCTGGCTTATAACAACATGGAGGATGGCTATCAGGCCGACCAGACCGTCAGCACGCCGGGCTGCGTGTGTAAGTCGGAGCCACCTGGGCCTGTGTCCCCCGAGGCTGAAGCTGTCTCACCTGCCCCTTTCCATTTGAGGCTCATTCCTGTCTGGAGGGCTCAGCTGTTGCGCTTCTTCGTCTCCTTCATGTTGTCTGGCACGGTTGTCTTGAACGTATAGATAGATGCCCAGTAGCTAAGATATAGTACATCATAAGTCCAATTTTAATTTTACGCGCAGAAGACCATTGGATATTTGGTAAAAGTAATTGCAGAATATTTGGGTTTTAATTTTTCTTTATGAGGCTAATTGTTTCTCTGCATCTGCTGTTGAGTGTTGTTGCTGCTAAAATAGGCATCATTCTAGCCATACATCCACCACTGATAGTTTCACTTCCCTGTGCTTTTGCTTTCTAGTGTTTTCAGTATTGATGATATTTGATAAATTTTCTTATTGATGTAAGAGTCCCTTGGGTTTGAAAGACAGATGTCTAAGCCACCAAGACTTTGGTGAAAAAGTCCTAAAATCAGCCCGTAGGGTTTTCCGGGTTCTGCCGTTTGACTGCTTTGCATGCTAAGCCTTAGGTCACGCAGTAAAGGAATGCTGTCTCTCATGCTAGCTGTCCGAGATCGCATGGTGCCGCCTCCACCGCCACCCCACCATCTCTATGCCAAGGCCAACAGCTCGTCCTCCATCTTCCTGCACTGGAGGAGGCCTGCCTTCAGCACCGCCCAAGTCATTAACTACACCATCCGCTGTAACCCCGTGGGCCTGCAGAACGCATCTCTGGTTGTGTACCTTCAGACGTACGTAGCTTCTGCTCGTTGCGGTTTTGCTGTCTTCCCTGCTGGTCTCGTGCCTCCTTCTGCCCTGCTTGGGCCTCATTTGTTTCAGGACTGATCTCTCCAAAGGCTGGGAGTTTGTCATCTTTACCATATTCAGTTCTGAAAACTATATTTTTGGACCTGAGTGTACGGAAGTAATGTTTTTCTGAGTGTCTTGTAGTCAGTGTGGATAAGATGCTGTTCTTAGTTTGAAGTGACCAAGTATAATAAATTAAAAAAAAAAAAAAGACATTTTGTGCTGGCATCAAGAGTGCTTTCAATTGTGTCGTTCTATTTTCTAGGTTTAGAGATAGAGATGTGCCCATCCCAGCTGGTCTTTCCAAGAATGACTTGACTTCCTACTTTAAAGGAAATGCCTTTGTGTTAGGACGTTTCAGTACTGTGAATTTTCTAGTTTCCTGTCAGGCAATGTGTAATTAACAGCAAGTGTCATAGTTTAAAATTGAGTTTAGAATGTTCTGCTGGCCTCCAGCAGCTGAATCAGCACGGTATACTTTATCTGTTGCTTGGAGGGACTGAGACTGTGTGAAAGCCAGTGCGCTCCCAGCACTAACACTGGCATTGCCCGCCATTGCAGGTCAGAAACTCACATGTTGGTTCAAGGTTTAGAATCAGACACCAAGTATGAATTTGCTGTTCGACTGCATGTGGATCAGCTGTCCAGTCCTTGGAGCCCTGTGGTCTACCATTCTACACTTCCAGAAGGTAAAGACAGCACTTTTCTTTATGGCTGTTACCTTTTTTAAAAACTTCAGAACTATTAAATGTATTTGTCCTTTTGGAGGGCTGCCCTGATCACGCTCATCACTGACTTGTGTAGATGAGGATACTTCAAAGAGTTCATGGAAAGTGGAATTAAAAGATAAATATATTTTGGTGCAAAAGATTGAAATCTAGGTATACTTTTTTCACAATACACTTATGATATTTTTAAATACTTTGTATTCATGGGTCTTTAAATTTTTGTATTTAAATGAATGTATTTTCACAAATACACATGCACACATCTAGTAGCAACATTTTTTAAAAAGGTTTGTTTTTATTTATTTGAAAAGCAAAGTGACAGAAGGGAGAAGCAGAGAGACAGAGAAAAAAACCTTTTTATCCAGTGTTTCATTCCCCAAATGAGACCACAGTGGGCTTGGCTGAGCCAGAAACTCTATCCTGGTCTCACACACGGGTGACAGGAAAACAAGTACCTGGCCATCTTCTGCTGCCTTCGCAGCATGTGAGCAGGATGCTGTATTGGAATCACTGCATCTGGGACTTGAATCAACACTCCAGGATGGAATGCCAGCATCTCAAGCGACAGCTTAACCCACTGTGCCGCAACACAGCACTGACCCCATACTTACCTTTTACTGGCATTTGCATGAACTTTTTGAAGTACTTTCTTATGTATTTTGTGCCTGAAATCTTGGAGTTTCTTTTCCTTTATCACATTTAAAGTATTTCTTTTTTAAAAACTGCAGGAGGGTTTAATTTTGGTGTCTGTTAAGGAAGTTTTCTTTTTAAGTCAGGAATGCTCTTCATGATGGTATCCAAATGGTTTCAGTTGGAATTCAGTGAATCAAGCAGTTGTTAACGACCGTTGGAGCCTGTATGGGAACCCATTTCTCTGTGAGTTCCAGAGAAACTGAGCACTGATTGCATGGTGACCTGTGCCCCTAGCGAAGATATTTCATGTCTCGAGTCCTAATGAGGGTGAAGGACTGAATGATTATCAAGGACCATTCCTGGTCTGTCTTTATGCTGAGAAAAAAAAAGCAAGGGACACTTCTCTCAGTGAGCACAGGAGGTCCTTGCCGTGATTTTGGCAATAGCTTATGCAAAACATGGTGCTGAAACCTTTGAACTCCTATAAAACATACAGCCAACTAAAATTCAGAGATTTTACTACTTTCCACAGGTGTCAGACTTAAGCCTGCCCTTATGAGGGACTAACTGAATGTTTTGGTCCCAGAAGCTTCTCTTTGGTGTCCTTCCAAATCAAATGACATTAATGTTACATTCATTTCAGTAGGAACTGTAATTTAGACTCACTGTGGTGAGGTAGAGCTTATTAATATCAATGGAATTGTGAGCATTTCTAGTTAGCAATTTAGCAAAATGTATCACAAATCCTAAAAATGCAGTCCTTTGATTTGTTGATTTCCCTTCTAGGAATATGCCATCTCTTTTATGTTTTTTTTAAAAGTCTTTATAAAATGATATGAGCTTTCTGAAAAAGAAAAATATTCGCACCAGTGGACATGATTTTGAGATTTTTAAAAATAATTTATTGGCCTGGTGTGGTTGCCTTGCGGCTAAATTCCTCGCCTTGAAAGCTCCAGGATCCCATATGAGTGATGGTTCTAATCCCAGCAGCTCCACTTCCCATCCAGCTCCCTATTTGTGGCCTGGAAAAGCAGTTGAGAATGGCCCAAAGCCTTGGGACCCTGTACCCACATGGGAGACCCAGAGGAGGCTCCTGACTTCAGTTGGGCACAGCACCAACCGTTGTGGCCGCTCAGGGAGTGAATCATTGGACAGAAGGTCTTCCTCTCTGTCTCTCCTCTCTCTATATCTGACTTTCCAATAAAAAATAAATTTTTTAAAAAATTGATTTCCTCATTTTTGTTTTTTTTGAAAGGCAGAATTTACAGAGAGAAAGAGGTAGAGAGAAGGTCTTCCACCCACTGATTCTTGCTCTCCAAATAGCACAGTGGCCGGAATTGAGCTGATCCAAAGCCAGGAGCTTCTTCCATGTCTCTCGCGTGGGTGTAGCTTCCCAAGCACTTGGGTCATCCTTCACTGTTTTCCCAGGCCATAAGCAGAGAATTGGCTCAAAAATGGAGCAGCTGGAACATGAACCTGCACCCATATGGGATGCCTGTGCCACAAGGCAGCGGATTAGCTTGCTGTACCACCGTACCAGACCCGAGGTTTTAAAATTAGGTTTTTCTGGCTTTCCAAACTTTCCATCGGTCTGTCAGCCAGGGAGAGGTGTGTTTATCCATCATTTTACACCAGTAATACAGTATATTTGCTCATATCAGCACCAGCAGATTCACCAGTGGGAGTGAAGATGGCACCCATTGAAGATGACACTGCTCTGGGTTCTTGGCAACCCCCTGAGGGCCCAGAGACGGTTGTGACACACCACACTATCCTGTATGCATCCCAGAAGGCCTGGATTGCAGAGGAATGGCAGGTCCTTCACCAAGAAGGTAATTAGGATCCCAGGTGATCCAGGAGGATGAAAAGTTAGGTTGTTAGCAATAAGGAAACAAAGGGAAAGAGGGTGTAGAGATTGTTTTGAATTTATATTTTCATGTACGGGATAATGACCTGTTTTCAGAATGATTCCCGTTTCAGGTGACAGTAATTTAGCACAGAGCTGAAGACATCCTGTGTTAGAGTGTCTGGGTTTGAGTGCTGACTCAGCACCTGATTCCAGCTTCATTCTAAGACAGACTGAGGGGCCAGATGGACTCCTGCCACCAGGGTGAGAGGCCTGGTTTGAGTTCCTGGCTCCCGGCCCAGACCTGCTTGTTAATGAGCATTTGGGGAGTGACATAGCAAATGGGAACTCTCCCTAAACATTTCTCTTTTTCTCTCTCCTTATCTCTTAAAGAAATAAAATAAAAACATAAAACTTGAAGAGAACGGCTCCTGTTTCAGAAAGACCACCTTCCCTGTAGTCAGAAGAGGTTTGCCTGAGAAGGAGTGAGGACAAGAGGGCTGTTGAAGGCTTGTTGGGCAGAAGATAATTGTCGTGATCTAGGAGAGAGGTGATAAAAGCTACGTCAGGCTGGGCCCAGTGGTGTGGCCTAGTGGCTAGAGTCCTTGCCTAGAACGCATCGGGATCCAATATGGGCGCCGGTTCTAATCCCAGCAGCTCCACTTTCCATCCAGCTCCTTGCTTGTGGCCTGGGAAAGCAGTTGAGAATGGTCCAAAGCCTTGGGACCCTACATCCGTGTGAGAGACCTGGCAGAAGCTCCTGGCTTCAGATCGGCACAGCACTGGCTGTTGTGGCCACTTGGGGAGCGAACCATTGGACAGATCTTCCTCTCTGTCTCTCCCCCCTCTGTGTATCTGCCTTTCCAATAAAATAAATAAATATTTATTTTAAAAAAAAAGCTGCCCCAGGGAAGATAAGGATGGAAATGGAAAGAAGAGAGTGAAAGAATGAAGGAGATGAAGCTAACAGAGCCTGATACTGTATAGAAGAAAGGCAATGAGGGAGAGAGTTGTGGGTACTTACTAGGTTTCTGGCAGTGATGTGCCTTATGCTAGAGGAAGAAATACTGGAAAATACCTGGTTTGAGGAAGACCTTTGAACTGCTACTGAAATGACCCACAGCCAAAGCAGCAGCCTGCTGTGAGCGTCAGTATCCACTGATGCATAAGACAATGAATTAGCCTTACATTGTTAACATGACTTAACTTTTAATTAAAGAAACTGGATCCTAAAACTCCAACGTTCTTAGGGACTGCATTCAGCATTAGAACCTTTTAAAAACTCACCAGTCATTTATTTGGACCCATTCCATGAATCTGTTCTGGGATGGACCACCACAGGAACAGAAAAGCATCATTTTTATGGCACTTCCTTAGGTCAGACGTCTGTGCTGGGAAGAGATTTGTCTGTCAAGCAGTTAAAAGCGTAAACGGCTTCCAAGAAGCAGATTTGTTGGCCACCTGCACGTTCTGGGCACAGTGTAGTGTTGGGCATGGTGTGTGCACTTTGCCTTTCAAGGGGAATATTTACTACATTAAGAAGATAAACTTTAGGGCCCGGCCGTGTGGCGTAGCGGCTAAAGTCCTTGCCTTGAACGCGCCAGGATCCCATACGGGCGCCGAATCTAATCCTGGCAGCTCCACTTCCCATCCAGCTCCCTGCTTGTGGCCTGGGAAAACAGTTGAGGATGGCCCAAAGTGGTCACTTGGGGAATGAATAATTGGACGGAAGATCTTCTTCGCTGTCATTCCTCCTCTCTGTATATCTGACTTTCCAATAAATAAAATAAATATTTTTTTTAAAAAAAAAAGAAGATAAACTTTAGAGACATTAATGTGTTCATAATGTAAAACCTTTTGCAAATTTGTAAAACAAGCAAATGGTAACTTTACTGAAGATTTTTTTTTAAGATTTGTTTGAAAGCAGAAGAGCAGAGAAAAATATTTTAACTGCTAGTTTACTCCCCAAATGCCATGAGAGCCAAGAGCCAAGAACAACATTAGATCTCCCACTTGCAAGGTAGGGACCATCATCCACTGCCTTCCCAAGTACATTCACAGGAAGCAGAATCTGAAGCAGAGTAGCTGAGAGTCGAGCTGGCACTCCAGTGTGGAATTAGGGTATGCCAGTTGGCAGTTTTACCTGTGCCACCATGGTTGCTCTTAGCTGGAGTCGAGATAGTTGTATCTTTGTGGGGTTTTTAAAATTTATTTTTTTGGGCCCGTGCGGTGGCACAAGTGGTTAAAGGTCCTCGCCTTGCACGTCCGGGATCCCATATGGGCGCCGGTTCTAATCCCAGCAGCCCCACTTCCCTTCCAGCTCCCTGCCTGTGGCCTGGGAAAGCAGTCGAGGACGGCCCAAAGCTTTGGGAACCTGCACCCGCGTGGGAGACCAGGAAGAGGCTCCTGGCTTCGGATCGGCATAGCATCGACCGTTGCGCTCACTTGGGGAGTGAATCATCGGACGGAAGATCTTCCTCTCTGTCTCTCCTCTCTGTATATCCGCCTTTCCAATAAACAAAATTTTAAAAAAAAAATCTAAAAAAAAATTATTTTTTTAAAGATTTATTTATTTATTGGAAAGTGAGATATACAGAGAGGAGGAGAGACAGAGGGAAAGATCTTCCATTCATTGATTCATTCCCCAAGTGGCCGCAACAGCTGGTGATGTGCCAATCCAAAGCCAGGAGCCAGGAACTTCTTCTGGGTCTCCCACACAGGTGCAGGGTCCCAAAGCTTTGGGCCGTCCTCGACTGCTTTCCCAGGCCACAAGCATGGAGCTGGATGGGAAGGGGAGCTGCTGGGATTAGAACCGATGCCCATATAGGATCCCGGCGCGTTCAGGACGAGGACTTTAGCCGCTCGGCCACACCGCAGGGCCCTTTTTAATTTATTTTTAAAGATTTATTTATTTTTATTGGAAAGTCAGATATACAGAGAGGAGAAGGAGAGACAAAGAGAAAGATCCTTCACCCAATGATTCACTTCTCAAGTGGCCACAATGGCTGGAGCTGAGCCAATTCGAAGCCAGAAGCCAGGAGCTTGTCTCAGGTCTCCCACACAAATGCAGGGTCCCAAGGCTTTGGGCCGTTCTCGACTGCTTTCCCAGACCACAAGCAGGGAGCTGCATGGGAAGTAGGACTGCTAGGATGGGAACCAGTGCCTATATGGGATCCTGGCATATTTAAGGGTAAGACTCAACTGCTAGGCTACTGCACCAGACCCTAAATTAAAAAAAAATTTAAGATTTTATTTTTATTGCAAAGTCAGATTTACAGAGATAAAGACAGAGATCTTCCATTTGCTGGTTTACTCTCCAAGTGGCCGTTAATGATCAGAGCTGAGCCAATCTGCAGCCAGGAGTTTCTTCTAGGTCTCCCATGTAGGTACAGGGTCCCCAGGCTTTAGGCCATCCTCTACTACTTTCCCAGGCCATAAGCAGGGAGCTGAAAGGAAAATGGAATTAGCCAGAATATGCACTGGTACCCATATGGGATCCCAGTGCATGCAAGGCGAGGAGTTAAGGCCAGGTCCATATATTTGTGTTTAAGCAGAAGCCCCACTGAATCATTTCTTGGTTACTGAAGATACTTGAAAGTAAGAAGTACTTAGCAGCAGCACAGTTTTATAATTGTGTCAACTATTACTCCCTAACCACTCTGAAACTTGACACAGTCATTTTGTTCTCTTCCATTTCCTTGAATTGGCAGTTTTGGCTGGAATCATGTGGGCAGTTTTTTTAGTCTCTCATGAGGCTGTAGGCATCTTGCAGTTTTGATAGGGTTTGAGTAGCCCGAAAACTGCAAGAGAGGCATTCGGAATCAGGAAAAGGGAGGGAGCCCCATGCACAAAGGTTTCTAAACCTCTGTGTCATGTTTGCTAATGTAACCTTGTAGCTGAGCAAGTCATATGGCCGAGTCCCAGAATCATGGCAGAGTAGGCTGCCCAAGGGTGTGAACAGGTGGAAGGGTCGTTCAGAGGGCCTTTGGAGTCTGCTGCAGCAATCTGAAAATGTAAAATTTCGTTTTACTTATTCAGTTCCAAACTTATTTATTGGCACAATGCCAATAAAGTAGGTGTCTTAACTGTTACTAATAAAGAATTTGTGTCATATGAACACATATACTTAAGGTCTTCATTTTTACCTGCATGAAAGGAAAGGAAACAGTATTTTGTTTTGGCTTTTTTTTTTTTACATGTTGTCATTTATATATTTGAGACAGAGCTCAGAAAACAGCATTTTGCCTCATTGATGGCTCAGTGGTGAAATGGACTATAATTGCAGGTTTTTATATTTGTGTCAGCCTTTCTGTAGTGATGCACAGGAAAACGTAATCTAGGTGCTGCTTGGTGCAATTTTCAGAAACAGTCTCAGTGAATAGCTTTTGTCCTTTGTTAAATGTAGGGAACCGTTTTTCATAGCTTATGCTGGCGATTCAAAGAGAACAAATGAACAGTGTAAGTAAAAAGCAATTGTGTTTACTTTTTGAGAGAGAAAGAAATATAAAGGATTTGACTCACCCATGTTTGAATGAAAAGCATTGACTACAACATGGCATTTAAAGTAGCAAAAAAGTAAAATTATATGTCTGATCATGGCATGTTTTCAGAAGGTACTATGCATACGGAAATAGAAAAAGAAGAGAGAAGATGGCAACTCCTCTTACCCACATGCTTGTTAATATTCTCTATGTTCTTATACATGCTTATGTACATATTTAATTCAAAAACTAATAACAAATGCAGTAATCTATTTTATGGCTCAAAATATTTTTTAAACGTTTTTGGTGAGTTTATGGCACTTGTGACTAAAATGGAACATGAGGCTAGGGTTGAGCAGAAATAGGAAGCGTGGGTCAGAACCTGCAGCCTTTACCTGCTTGGGATGCAGTAGATCAGCACAGAGTACTCAGGCTTATTTTCAAGTAGGAAAGAAGTCGTACTCTATCCCAATCATTTCTGAGCTTTGCTCTTGGTATATTTCCTGACTGCAAAGATGCCCCTTTAAAAAAATTAGTTTCACAATTAAGGAAGTTTGAGAAATGTAGTATACCTGATTTCTTATTAGAGAATCACATTGAAAAGTTAGAAGGAGAATCTATCCTGTCAGCGTTCCAAATAAGTTGTACTACCCGTGGTAGGAACATTCTCATTTATTAAGCAAATTCTTTCTCTGTGGTCTTGCATGCCAGGCTCAGTTCTAGGCAGTGGCAGTACCACAGCACATAATTAAGTTCTGCGCCATTTCCCATCCAGCTGCCTGCTGTGTGGCTGAGAAGGCAGTGGAGCGTGGCCCAAATCCTTGGGGTCTCTGCCACCCATCTGGTACAGGCTCCTGACTTTAGTCCTGCCCAGTCCCAGCCATTACAGCAGTTCTAGCAGCTGGAAAAATTTCAGTCAGTGAATCCCTCTTGCTCTTCTCTCTCTGCCTCCCTCCTTTCTTCTCTCTCTTACCTCTCTCCCCTCCCTCCCCCTCTGTAATTCTGCCCTTCAGATAAACCTTAAAAATAATGTGCGCGTCAGAAGGAGGAGAAAAAGAGTCAGAGGTGAGAAGGGGGAGTTACTTGTATCAAGTGTATACACTTGGGTCAGACACTTGCCAGTGATAATTTAATCCTTAGGACAATTAAATGGGGAGGAAGCTATTGCCCCCAAGAGGAAAGTACAGTACGGTAATGGGCTCCAAGTCACGTATCGCTTAATTGATAGCATGCCAGGTTCTCATCCACATGCCACGGAGCCTGTTACACTGTCTTGCTTGTGAAATTTCTAATCTGGCTGAAGACTCAGATGTCTGTCATAAAGGGTAGATTGAAATAATCACATTAATTGAGACTGAGACATTCCACTGAGTGAACATCGGTACAGTCAACTCTCCTTAGTATTTGGAAAACGCTTTGAGTGTGTTTTTGGGAGAATCAGAATGAGCTGTTCTCTTTTTCCCAGTCCCCCTTTTTCTGAGGATGAGGGAAGTGTGTATGTCACACTGAAGACCCACCACTTGGAAAATTTAAATTGTACCAGAGCACTTTGTATTTCTGTTGCTGATGGCTTTTTGTGAAACATTTTTTTTAATTAAATATATTATGATGATAAAATGAAAACCTAATTTGTATCTCTTGGTGAAGAAATTGAAATGTCCTTCCCCTTAGTTCTTTGTACTGTGTCACAATACCTCTTTGTTTTTGAGTGCATCTGCTTAAGAACTTAATCACAGTGGAAAGACTTCAGATTCTAAATAGGGGGTTGCTTAGTTTGTCTAGCAGTTGTGTACTCAAGTAGCTCAAACTCAGTCCCAGCCAAGCTGAAACCAGAGAGCGTGAAAACAAGTGCTGTGGGAGCTGCTGGCCTTGATTTGGGAGGTGTGGCTGCCCCCTGCTGTGTGACCTGCATAGGTAGCCTTTGTGTCGCAACCTCGGCTCTAAGATCATGCAGTATTTCACTTGCATAATGAACTATCTTCTAGCAAGTGTGCTCTGACAGCTGGCTCTGGCCTGAAGGTGATGCCTTCAAAGCAACTGTGAGGGTACCTTGAGTTAGGAGGAGATGAAACTCCCATGGGAGGCAGTGCTGGAACAAGTACCTGTTGACTTTCTGTATACTAGAATTAATTCCTAGAGTGAAAATCTTTTGTAAGAATATTTCAGTGCAGCAATGAAACAAGAGCAGAGAGACCCTTCAAGCAGTTATTAGTGCCCAAACAGGAATCCTCCCTGGCAGTCCTGCCAACAATAAACCAAACAGTACAGTACTCCTCCAGATAGGAAGTGTCGTCTGTGAAATGGTTCCTTTTACAGAAACATGATCTTGAGTAAATCCTTACATGGTTGCTGGTGGGGTTCTGATGCTATGGGATGCTGTGACTCCTGTCAGTACTTGCAGAGGATGTGAAATTCTCATAGAATTACCTGTACTTCTCAGACTCCCGTGTTCCCACTTACTTTATCCCTACTGTGCAGCCACCAAGACGAACAAGCTGCACCACCCAGGGGCTAAGGGCCAAGTGCGTCTCCTGGAAGCAGTCAGCCATGCTGTCTGTGGGACTCCAGTTGAGAAGAGCTTGGTTTTCATTAGGAATTTTCATCAAAGCCCAACAGCCTGACCAGAGAGAGTTGTTTTTCCCCATAAAGGCAATTGGAAAGGAATCTTCTAAAAGATTTTATTTGAAAAGCAGAGTAACAGAAAAAAAACTTTCATCTAGTGGCTTACTCCCAATGTGGCCACAAGAGCTGTGGCTGGGCCAGGCTGAAGCCAGGAGCCTAAGACCTCCATCTGAGTTTCCCACATGGGTGGCAGGGGCCCAAACACTTGTGCCTCCTGCTACTTTTCCAGGCACGTAGCAAAGAGCTGTTTTGCAAGTGGAGCAGCCAGGCCTTGAACTAGTAGAGGATGTGATAGGCAGGGACTTAACCTACTGCGTCACAGTCAAGATCCTGGAAAATGATGTTGAAAGAGGCACCTTCCCTTCACACAGTGCTTGCTGCTTTCCCGCCATGAAGGAAGCCTTTGCCCATGGGGTTACTTAGGGGCCCCCTTTTTCTTTGGAGAAGGGAAGAAAGACCACCTGCACTTGATTCAGGATTAAGGGCTCTTCACACCACAGAGGAGACTCATTCCGTGCAGAGTGTGCTTGCAAACAAAGGGAGAGAGACAGAGCAGGGCAGTGCAGGGCAGAGTTAAAAACAACACGGTAGCTGCGAAGTCAGGGAAGGTGGAGAAAAAGGCTCTTCTGCTTCCCGAATCCTGTGCTGCTTGAAAGGGTCTAGGGACCAGCAGCATGGGCATCATCAGACGGCTTGTTCCATTGCAGAATTGGGGTCCCGCCCCAGAGCTGATCAGAACCCCTAGTGATTCATATGCACATGCAAATTTGACAAGCCCTGTGCTTATCTGTGCAGACAAAAAGCTAATCTTCCACCTGCACTCCTGCTTTTTAGGCAACATGATATGAATGCTGTTCTTAGGTCCATGGGGCACACCTGAATTTCATGCTGTTTGGTATTATAAATTATATGTTGGTCGTATTTGATATACTGATATCAAATATTATTTTATAGTTGTTTTAAGATTTATTTACACACCAGAGAAAGAGAGAAATGATCTGTCTGCTGGTTTACTCCGTAAATGCCTTCAACAACTGCTAGTGGGTCTGGCCAAAGCCAGGAGTCAAAAAAGCCATCCATAGCAAGGACCCAAATACCTGAGCTGTCACCTGCCGTGTCCCAGGTGCACTACAGGAAGGTGAATCAAAAGTGGAAGAGCCAAGATATGGGATGCTGGCTCCCATGTGGCAGGTTAACCATGGCACCACAACACTTGCCCTGACTCCTATTTAAACTCTTCAGTGTTGGAAGAGAAACCAACTTGCTAAAAGATGAATTCTGCTTTGATGATGTCAAAACTTCTGTGAGATGAAGAGGAACTATTGTAAAGCAAATGTCTGCCTGAAAATCACAGCATGTATTTTTTTCTGATTCATTCTAAGTCCATGTACTTTATTTTCCCTTATAGTTTATTCAGGCTATTACCACCTGGACCAGAAGTCAATGACTGGCATTGCTGTAGGTGTCGGCATAGCCCTGACCTGCATCCTGGTCTGTGTTCTCATCTTGATATACCGAAGTAAAGCCAGGTGTGTGTTCCATTTCTAGGGGTGTTAAGGTGGTTTAAGAAAGAAACTACACTACAGTAACCTCAGGATCAATGAAACCATGTGTCTCATAGCGTAACCAGGACTATCCACTTCAATTTTATTGCTACGTCAGTTTTTGTAGCTATAGAAATGTGGTCATTTTGAAGAGAGTTCATTTTCTTACCATTTGAAAAAAAAAAAGCTGTAATAATAAAATATTTTTTGAGTGAGGACCTGGATTCCTCATTTCCAGTGGGTTTTTTTGAAACACAGAGTTCATATTGGATTACTTTTTAAAGTAACAACCTGATACATTTGATGTGAGGATTCCTTATTGTCTAGAGTATTTTATATTTAACTAATAGTGTGTGAAATGCCTGAATCAATTAAAAACACCTCAGGGCATGTCATAGGGTTTTCTGTACAAGGATGCAGGTGAGCATGATAACTCAGAATTGGCAGTCTCATCCATGGTTTGACTTTGAACACATTTTTGGCATAAATTTACGTTCGGGGAATTTACGTATTTGAGACCTTTTAGATTTTAATTTTTGCTTTCATTTATTTTCTGAAAGTATTTTAAATAAACACCAGTCATTATTTTAGCTTGTCCCATCACTAGACCTTCTCAATTTACATAGATTTTTTTTTCACCATTGCTATTTGTTCATACTTGGAAAACATCAGTGAGTGAGTTTAGCTTCTAACATGCTTATAAATGTTGAAGTGACTTTATTTTTTGTGTTGCTCATTGTAAGAATTTTGTAGTCTTCATGCATGGTGCTTTAATGATGCCTGCATTCTATAAAAGTGCTATGATAAAATTTCTATCATTAATTAGCAAGTGCATTGTTTTAGGTTAATGTAGCAGGAAGCTACAAGCCTAAAGGCAGAAATATAAAATAAAAAAAATCATAATTTCTGTGCAAAATTGTCAGTATGTCACAATAAATAGTAACACTTGGCAACTTAAGATTTTAATTAAGTGTGGAAAATAACTTTCACAGGCAGGTATTAAGATGAAACAAAAAAGTATGTTCAAATTTAAGTTCATCTCAGTGAGTTGGGGTTAAATTCTGATACTTATTAAAGATATTTGAGAAATGTGTATTTAAGAACTTTGTTGTTTGCAAAGTTATGATTTAGGCCACACTGGGCATATTTGCCTCTGTCTTCTGTGACATTAGAGGAATTTCTGCACTTCTGGCTCTTTTCAGAAAATCAGCTGCTTCTAAGACAGCACAGAATGGACCCCAGCAGATCCCTTGCACCATTACCTCCTCAGCGAGTAGGACTGACGTGGCAAAGAACCTGCAAAGAGCTGCTGAAAATGAAGACTCTTTACTGCCAATGATCGTGCCCAACAGCTTCCTTGATGCCAAGGTACCCTGAGCCCAGACAGTAGTTGGCTGCATAACCCTTCTCTCTATTCGTGTGGCCTTCATGTGTAAATTTCCTTACCTGAAACTTAACATATTCAATATGCCGTGTGCATACTCCCCTTTATGAGATGGAAGCAAAACAAAAAATTAAATGAAACACTCATCTTTCTTTTCCTTCCTTACCTAAAATATTTGCAAGGAAGATGATACAGACTGATAAAAGAATGAGGCGTGAAAGAATGGTGGGATTCAGTGAAGCTAAAATGTCTTAAACAAGGTCATCATTGTCTTTATGCATTATAATGAGCTTCCCTGCACTTACTGGGTGGGCAATCCTTCATTAATCCATTTTACACTTAGTTTGAGTTGTTGAACTGAATTTATCACCAGAACATCCCAGATATTAATGAGTTTTAAAAATAGCATCTAAATAGATACCTGAAGATCCTTTTATAACCCAGGGAATTTGGCTATAGAGAAGAAATGTCATTGGAGATGTTACTTCGTGTCTTTGCCAGTATAGTGGTCAGCATTATGGGTGCCAACTTGAAATTATTTTTAGTCACATTGCAACATTAGATACTATGCTTTATTACAATAGCTCCCTGTAACCAATGTGCTATAAATCATATGTCAGCACACCACAACCCAGGCCAAGCCACAGCCTGTTTTTCTGTTGCCACCCAGTTAAACTAAGGATACTTAGTACATTTTGTGTGTGTGTGTGTGTGTGTGTGTGTTATATTTAAAAAGAAAATATGACTTTGGCCATGTATATTCTGCAAAGACTAAGACGCTTATTTTTGTTAATTAAAAAAAGTTATAAAGATTTACTTGTTTATTTGAAAAAAAGTTAGAGAGGGAGAGGTCTTGCATCTGCCAGTTCACTCCCCAGACTGCCATTACAGCTGGGATTTGGCCAGGCCAAACTATAATGTCCATATGGATGGCAGGGTGCTGCACATTTGGGCCATCTACTATTTTGGTTGAGTACATCATCAGGAAACAGGATCAGAAGTAGAACAGCCAGGCCATGCCAGTATAGAATGCCTGCATCTTAGGTGGCAGCTTTATCCATTATACTACAACAAAATTAAATGTAGTGTCTTTCAGATGAAATCTTCTTGTGTCTAGCTCAATATTATGTATATTTTAGGCAAATAATTGTGAATTTATTTTCCTTGCTGTTTGCATTGTGGTTTTCTGTTGTGATTGGTTGCTACCTAATTTAGCTTTTACTTTCCCAATACAAATTAAGCCACCCAGCTTATTTCAAATTATTGTAAAAATTAGAACCTAAACTTTAAATAAGCATAAATCATCATGGAAATGTCCTATATTACTTATACGGAATATTACTTATACGTATATGTATATATACATATATATACGTATATTACTTATACTATATATATGTATAAGTATACATATATTACTAATACGTGTATTACTTATACGGAAGTACATATGAGAAAGGATAAGGGAGAAGCTGAATAGGGGTTACACATGGGAAAAGGGGAAGATTCTAAGTTGAAAGGAGGCAGAAAGGAATAGAAAGCTTCAAGTCAAAGAGAATAAAAAGCCGGAGACCTTTATCTCTTCCCTTGGGTTTGCCTAGGAGTTGATACCCTTCCAACATCATGTGTTAAGTATATGTTAGCCCATGACAGTCTTTTCAAGCATGCAGAGAAGTTTAAGAAATGATTGTTGCTATCTTGCTATGGTTCTGTACCTCTGTCTGGCAGGGAATCAGGAGTTTGCCTCTTCCTTCAGAGGTTTAGGAAAGTTTCATGGATTTGGTAGGAGAAAGCTGGGCTGCAGAAATGCTGATGAGTTTTGATTGGAGGGACTTAGACTCAAGCCAGTACAGTAAGATGGGCTCCTCATTCTGGCCTTGCTTGTCCAGCTGACATCTTGCTCCTGAAAAGGCCCTCCTGCATGTAACTTGTGCTAATACTCCGGTCTCTTAGGTGTTGCAGAACACATGGTACTGCTGTTCATGCCTACTTCATGTGGTACGCAGTGTTCTCTCTGGTAATGCATTGCCAAGTCCTTAACAGCTCTCTTAAGAAAGCAGGAACTTAAAAGAAAAAAACATGGTAGGGAACCTTTAGGAAGTACTGGTGCTATAGGAAGAGGTTTTTGAGGTTGGAGCATCAGGAGAAGTCAAAGGAAGTGGCAGCCCAGTGTCATAAAGGAACACTCCAATATCATTTATTTTTGTTTGCACTCCCCTTTAAATTGTGTAATCATTATACTTTACTTCCAGATACTTCAGCAACATCTGAGTATGTTGATGGGAATTGTGTAGTGTTCAAAATATGTGTATACTTCAAAAGCTTTTTATAACAAACTAATCTTTTAGTTCCATTTTCCATAAGCTTTTTGAAGCACCCTTGTGTGCATGTGTGTGTTTGTGTGTGTGGTGTCTTAACAATATACCCATTATATCTTTTTGATAACCTGAATATGTTGTATGCTGCCCTTGTAAAAAATAGAATAACAATGTTTGTGATGTTTTTTTGCTTTGACTTAAAAAAAAATTATACTATTTAAAATAAGCTGAAATCTGAAATATCAAGGTACTTACATACTTAATTTTCCCTCTTATATTTTGTCCAGGGAGGAACCGACCTAATAATTAACAGTTATGGTCCTATAGTTAAAAGCAACTCTAAGAAAAAATGGTTTCTCTTTCAAGACTCTAAGAAGAAAAAAGTTGAGCAGGTAATTTACCCAGCTAGGAAAAATCCTTGGCAAACTATTGTTATTTGCTGGGCTTGGGCCTAATATTTATTCCTAGGTTCTTGCCTCTCACTTAAAAAACGTTTTAAACACAGGCACTGATACAGCGTACACGAAGATAAGGTTTTATTTAAACGGTGAAGAATTCACAGACACATGTGAGCCATGTTCAGGGATATAGTGGTCTAGGAAGGCAAAGGTGAATCAGATTGACCTTCCAGCTGCTGCATCTGCATCCCAGGCTTCTTAGGAGCTTGCAAGGGAGAGTGGTTGCTAGATGCTGTTCCCAGGTCCCAGGTAACAGGAAGTGCTTCTTGGGCAAATAGGGTTCCCTAGGGTGCGAAAGGGAGTGGCTTTCAACTCATGTAACCAAACTGGCCAGTTACCTACACCATACACGATAACATGAACTGGAGAAGAAATATAAATTAATGTTTTGATTTTCTATTCTTTGTAAAGATTTGCATATTTGAAAGGCAGGGTGGCAGAGACAGAGAGGATGGCTGCTGAAAGGACAGTAGGAGTTGTCCTCTGAGCTGGGGAGGGGTGGCAGTTGGGAAGGACAGGGATAGTAGAATCACTCCGGCATGAGCTGGTGTTCGGCAGACCCTGGAAGACAGTGATGATGACTCAGTAACTGTGCTTCTGCTCTCACCCACCCACCCACAAGATTGAATTGAATTCCTGGCTCCTGGCTTTGGCCTGGCCCAGCCCCAGCCAAGTGCATCCCTCACAATGCCTGTTATTCATAAACCAGAAGAGTTCACCATTTCCTTGCTCTGATCTGTTTTTGCCTAGCCTCAAAGAAGATTTACTCAAGCCGTCTGCTTTTACCAGCCAGGCACTACTGTGCTCATTGGTGGTGAAGACTCTCCCGGCTCCCCACACCAGACAGCCAGCTTCCCAAGACCCTTTAGTGGGACGGTGGATCCTGAGCATTCAGCAAATAGTGAAGGTAGCCACGAGACTGGGGATTCTGGAAGGTTCTCCCATGAGTCCAGTGATGAAATACACCTGTCGTCCGTCATCAGTTCGACACCTCCAACCTCCAGTTCCCTCACTGGCAGTGATTCTGGGGACAACCCAACGACGAGCAAGTGTGAAGACCCTGCAGTGCCACCTGCTGCGGAGTCGACCCCAGCTTCCGTTGTGCAGCCTTCACCCGCCATGCTATGCTTTGACAAAGATTGCCCTGTCTAGAGGCCCTCACTCAGGGGTCTCATCTTAAATCTGTTCGAAGGACAATGAACAGGAAGCCAAAAGCCTTTTGTGAAACCTTCAATGACTTATTGGGTATTTCAGGCTTTTTCTGAATGTGTTTTTTTTTTAATTTTGCAATTCACGTTTTTTGAATGTTTCAATGTCAGCAATGTGAAAGGACAGTCAAGATATTTGACTGGATTATAAAATATGTCACTGGAGCAAAGGGAAGACTTGGGAGAGTCCCTTTGCTGATGATCTACCTCAGTTTGCCAGCTGGCAGACTCTGAAGATGAACTATGTTACCTCATTTGTTATAGTTTATGTCAGCTGTGTAGCCAATGATACTTCCTAGTAGCATTTGTTTTCAGTGCTGTGTGTGTCATGTATGTGAACAAAGGAGTCACATAGGTAGGTGAGAATGTTTATCTGAAGCTCTGAGTTTTCAGAAACCATGACATCAGCAGAGTGCGGGCAGTTTCATCGCTTCTTCTATGAGGACTGTTCCACCACTGAGAAGAGAAAAAAAAATTATTTTAATGAATGACCAGAACAGCAAAAACAATAACGTGTTAGTCTTTTGGGAAAGCAGAACCGTTCAGAAGCATCTAGGGAAGAACATTGCTTCACAGGTGTTAGAATCTGAGTGCTCTGTCCTGTGCATTCTGAACCATACCTGATGGGGCAAGGGCCGGGACAATTTGCTAACCCCACCTGCCTCGAGCTGTGCCTTTCTTTTAACATCTCTTTGCCTGACAGTCCACCAAAGGCTGCACTGCCAGGTTGCAAATCATCCTCAACTCTTCCTTTATTAGTTATAAAGCCCCATGCAGAAAATGGATTTTTAAAGAGAGAATGGGTTAAGGGTTTCTTTTTCTAATATCCAGTTTGGTTTAAAGAGATGAAGAAATTTCATATAAAGAATGAAGATAAATGTGATAGTTGACAGAATTTGAGGTTATTGTAATAACAGTGCCTTCCATAATCTATTATGAAATATTTTGCCTTATGCCTTTTTGATAGTCATGAAGTTGTTTAGGACAACAATACGTAAAGTTGCCTTAATAGTTTCTAGAAATGTGTCAGTAACCTGATAATTTTGATATGGAGTATCTTACCAAAGAGGTTTTTTTGTTGTTGTTTGTTTTTTTAAGTGCAGTTTTTGTTCAGGAATAGACATTCAGAATTCTAACACCCTCTAGTTATGTTTTCTTGAATTCTTAAAAGAATTTGATACTCTTCATTTAATTTTCTTTCAGTGTCAATGTTGTGAATGAGCAAACTAGCTCTCAGAGTGAATAATCCTCTTGTTGGTTTAAAATCAGCAAATAGTTTACTCAACCATGTGGAACAGGCCCCCTTCTCACTCTGTTACCTAGATGCTGAGCTGTGGTGGAGAAAAGGGCCTCATATCCTTTCAAGAGTATTCTTTTCAGATTTTCTGGATATGACTGTTAAGTCTCCTTTTGAAAGGAACCTGTCAGGTTTCCCCTTGCAATGTTTTGTTTGTAGAGGGGGCAGGGTTTTATTACATGAAGGTATTCCAAAACCAAAAGAAGTGTGTTGAATAACAGTCTTAGCATCACCTCCTAGCCCAGTTACTGATGACACCACATTTTAAAATGTTTTTTCTGATCTGTATAGTTTGTGCCAAACAATGTTTTAGAAGCAGACCAACGTGAAGTGTCAACAGCCACTTCTCAGCTAAATTCGGAGGCCCCCTAAGTGTGGGCGGCTTGGCAAAACAGAAGAGCAGAGCTTTAGGTGAACAGTCCTAGGCAAGGAAAGTGCCGCCCTGCCTTGTGAGCTCCTGTTTATACTACCTCCTTTTAAAGTATTCTAGTGTTATTTTTTTTTCCTGTACTCAGGGAACATTTTGTTACTTTTTAAGCTGCCTCATGGAAGCATGGGCAAATTGACAGGGTATGGAGTTTTGTGGTTCCAAAGTAGAAGTATGTGGGGCCGACTTTTATCAGTGCCTACAGTTTAAGGAGCATGAGGAGATCATTTTGTTTTGTTTTTTTTTTTAACTTTGATGAGAAGGCAAACAAACTCTAAGGCTGAAACATATCATGCATCATAGCTGTGAAAGATGTATTTTGGACCATGTGAATACCAGTAGCCTTTTTAATTGCCTGAAAAGATGATCTGAAATCCTTGAGAAAATATTTTGTCTGTGTGGTTTCTGATGAATAGGCCCATAGTTATTATAGATTGGTTTAGGCTATAACTGTTGGCTAATTATTTACCAGTATGTTTCTTACCTCTTCAGTTTGTTCTGATGAAATGTTTCATAATAATCCTGTTACCAAAGAATTTTCAATAGAAAGTAAAATTATGATTATAAACTCCCTCAAATTGAATTAAGTAGGAACATCTGTAGATACGAAGTTTATCCAAGTAGTTACTAACTCAGAACATTAGGATTTATATTGATTGTTATAGTTAAATAGTCTAGTGATCTTAACTACCTTATTTGTTACCAGAGCATTTGATGTAGGTTGTAATGCTTCCATTACCAGCAGATAGTTCCAAAAATTTACCTTCCATGTGTAACTTTTTTCTTCAGCAAGTAAATCTTCAACTCTACAGTATTAAAGTGTTTTTCAAATTGTTGAAGTTGCTTGTTGAAGAGAAAGAACAAATCTTTTCACCCAAAATAAATTCGGTCTCATTGAATAAAATATTCATAGTGCAACAAAGACTTGTCTTGAGCAAAGCAAGCCTCTTACATATGAAATTGTAATTGAAATGGAGAGATCATTGCTTATCTCTCGTAATGGTGTTACTATTCCATGATATTTCATTCCACAGGGGCTAATATGCAAATGGTAACTGCTTTCCAAAGATGTATTTGCTGTAAGTACTAATACATTGCATGTCATTTTTATGCCAAATCCTACAAGACAATGCTCATCGGTATTTTCATACCAAAGACCGTTAAAATATATAGGTTAGCCTGTGAGTGATGATGAGCATATTTGAAAATAAAATTATTTTAGAAACTGATAGGGAGTTTAGCTTTAGTAGCAAAAGAGATCAAGGGTTAAGTTTACATTAAGTAAAAGCAATACAATTATAGTGGTATTTATCAGTGTTTTTGTTCAAGTACTTTATATCAGCAAATTAAAAAGAAAAACCAAAGATATTTAAGGTTGCCTCTGCATATAGGAAAATGTAGTTGTCCATTAAACTGTTGTTTCTTGTTTCTGTGTTAACCGAACGAGTTTCTCCTGAACCCAATCTGTGTTCAGATAACTTCCATGGGTGGCAACTTTGCATCCGATCTGCTGCCACAGGGTGTTTTTGCCGAACGATGTGATACTCTGCTGCGCACCTGGAGGGTGAGATGTTGGCTGAACTCTCAGCAGACTTGTCCATTGCAGTTATCTTGGTAACCCCTGAGTAGGCTTATGTAGTCCTCTTACTCCTTAAAGCATCACCTGGTTCTTCCGAGGACTGAAGTGAGCCAGTAGCTGAAGGTTAAGGGTGTGCTCGTCTTTGAGGACAGGCAAGCGAATCATGTTGCTGCTGCAGACACCTCTGCCCCAATAGTTGCAGAGGTTTGAAATTGTTGAATTGAAACTGAAGTTGTTCAAATGAAATGTCTCCATTGCATCCAAGAAGCCTAGTGTTGGAACTTTCATGGAAGCTCAAGTGAAGGAAGAATCTTTTTTTGTTTTGTTTTTAATGAGGATATTTTGATTAGCCTAAAATAAAGAAACAAGTGACTGAAGATAAATTTTTTTATACCAAGGTATTTAGACCTTGGTGGGACAACCAGCTTTTATTTACCTGGGCTTCAGACAGAAGCAGTGCCAACACTGGGCTTGGTGGCAATGGTTTAAAGTAGTTTGTCTTGGCTTTGCAAGGGCTTCTGCCAGAAACTTGCTCATGGCTAGCAACTCAGGATCATAGAAGATACCTTTGGAAATAAGTCAATAGACCATGAAAAGATAGATTTAGAAGCGTCATTTTTCGTTTAAATGCAAGAACACCCAGATGTTATTCCATTCAGCAGTGACTATAGTGATTGACTGGATTTGAATTTTGAATTCTGAATATCAATGGAAAATATTTCCATCATTATTGGAAATGTCATCATCTTTTCTAGACTAAACAAGTGTTTTTTGGACTTTATTCCTGATCATTTCCCACATGAGTCTCTGATAGAGTTGCTCTGGTTTAATTGTCAGTGTTTGTGGTGACACACAAGTACACAATACAGGGTTCAGGAGATCACCTGTACACAACCAGTTGTCTAAGTTGTGAATTTTCTTAATGTCTCAAAGAATATAACTGTAAAATTCTGTGTTAAGCTGACTTTTACTCAGGATATAAGATCACAGGCTAATGCAATGTGAATGTTTGCAGGCTTTAATCTTCGTTTCCCTTTTCTAGCCTTTGAAGGTATTCGAGATTACCATGACAGTCTTGCATTTTTACCTGAGATACCATATGATGTTCCTATCACCATTCTGAACAAATCACCACACATTTAGTATATTAAAGCTATAGTTACTTACTGCCTTAGGTTCTGTGGATAAAAATATGGCTCTGGGATCATCCCAAGGCATTGGCAGTAAGAATCCATCTCATTGACTCGTCCTGCCTTGGAAAACTGTGAGCCCCTCCATCCTTCCTTGTTCAAGCTAAGAGTTAGCAGCTCTGTGACACTGCTATATTTCTCTAACCACCTCCCCCCCCCATGAGCCAAGTTCTCCCCTTTTAAGGGCTGCTGTGATGCAACTGGACCTTTCTAGATAATCCAAGAGAAACTCTTCATCCCAAATTTCTTGCTTTGTCACATTGGCAAACCTCCTTTCGCCCTGTATGGTGACAGCGGTCACAAGCTGCAGGAACTTAGCCATGGCCGCCTGTGGGTGGCCGTTGTTTTGCTGCCACAGGTCTAGCATATTGTGGAATTCTGATCCCAGTGAAATGTCTGCACATGAAGGAGATTTGGACCTGAGGTCATGTGCCTGCCCCTTGGGAATCTTTGAAATTTTAGGGTCGTGGAAAACTTAATATGTGGTATATCAAAACTGGACATTAAGCTTCCTCTCTCCAACACTTACAAAGGTAGTTCAGCCTCAGACTTGCTGCTTGTGTGCATCTCAGTTCCGTGAGTCAACAGAGTCTCCTAAGTACCTGCCTCCATTTTTATGAAACATCACTGGTATTTTCTGAAAACGCCCCTGCTTGGGGAGAGTTTGGTGAGATTCAGAGTAGATGACAGGGCAGTGCCAAACTCAAGTGCATTCTGAGTTTTCTTTTCAAAACACACTCGCAGCATGCAGCCTTTCTGCCTTTAAGCCTGGGTTATCTCTTCATTTGCCGCTGACTGGTTTTCAGTTTTGAGAACTCTGAGTTTTTCTATTGTTCTCAGCAAGAGATTCCACTGAACCTCTTCAATGTGTCTATCGTCAAGAAAATTGCTATCTTTTTATTTATTTATTTATTTCAGTTGTCTTTTTCCTAGAAAGCCTTGGCTACCAACACTCTGAATTGCTGATTTCGGGATCATTTTGAAACTGGCTTCTCAGAGTGCCGAAGGACAATTTTTGATTATGCCATCATCTGTAGCTTTTTTTTTTTTGTACTCAAGCTGTCTCCATAATGAGGCAAAGATCAGCCTGACACTCTCAGTATAGACAAGAGAGTGGGTCCTCATGCAGCTTCTTCCTCATGGCTAACAAGGGATCCTGCCCTTTACCGAGCACCTGCAGCATGCCCAGACGTGCTCCATCTATGCCAGCTCCTGCGTTTGTGCTGCAATGGTTATCACCATTGTAGTGATCAGGAAACTGAGGTTCCTGATCATTTGACAAAGGGCACAGATAGTACGTGGCTTAGCCAAAATAAAAACCCAAGTTGGGCTGAATCCAGAGTAATAGGTCTTCTTGTGCTACAGTCTCAGCTGAAAGTTACCCAGGTTCATAGCGCTTTCCACCGAGGACTCAAATATAGCCTTCTATTTTTTGGTATCTATGAAGACTAGATTGTATCAACATGATCTGTCTGCAGAATAGTAAGCAACCAACAGGGAGAAGTCGGTTTTGGTGTATCCATTTCTTCACAGTAGGAATTTAGGAAGCACTGAGCTGTAACTCATCCCTGTCATCTCCCAGCCTCTCTCCTTCACAACCTTCCATTTATCTCAGTTAAAATTGTGTCGGACGGATGGCTGTGCCTCGAGTAGCATTAGGAATAAGGTAGGCACAGTTTCTGGGTTCTTTAAGCTAGACATTTTATTACTGGGCTAGATCTTCAAGTGGTATTTTAATCTTTTGTAGCTTTCTATAGTCCCCATATCCAAATGGAAATTTATTAAGTGAAAATTGCAGGTACAGAGCTAGTAATAATTTCTTGCTAGATCTAAAGAGTCAATCATGAATAAAAATAAGTTTTTCACACTAGTGAAGAAGGGAGCAAAGTTGACAGTCACGTTAATAGAATATGTAGAAGGTTAGGACTTGGAATACTTACGTTATAATCTTGATGTTTCTGAAAATTGTTTAGCAGGAAAGTTCTTAACCTATTTTTGTTCTTTATCCGTGAAGTGAGGATAATTTGTTGTGCAGACTGAAGCAGTAGTACTTTGAAAACTTAAAAGGAAATTCAAGTGTAAATAATTATAATCCAAAAGTAATTTCTGAGACTGTGAAAACATCTTAGAACTTTTACCTTATGGGTCAACCTTTGCACTGATATTTTGCCTGAGCTAAAATAAAAATGCTTGCTTCTCTCGTAAATGCACACACAAAACTAGAAGAAAGTGGTTGGTAGAAAAAGAAAGGCAAAGCTTGGGATTTAATACTGGTCAGGAAAAAGGAAACAGGAATTGACTGCTACATTGAGAGTAGTAAACTTAATTGCCCTATCTGCTCAGGAGGACTCACACTTTGTTACCTTACATTTCAAAGAGGAAAGTGTGAGCTTAGGATTCTTCTCCAACAATGCTGTTTCAAGGTGGCAGAGCATTTTAACGTCTTTGCAAACTGTTCAGAATGACCCAGGTTATATGGAGCAACACATCCTGAAACCTAATTCTGCTTGATCCAAGTTTACGTTTAAAACTTACTGGGAAGAATTATGCAATTGCTGTCTTTCCTTAGAGAAAGGAAGTATTTCCTCTGACTTTCTTGCACCATCCAGCATCACGCTTGGTGTAAGAAACTTCTGAGAAGCTTTGCAGATTTATTTAAGCTTATGTCTGTAAGTAGCTCATGGTATTTAGATCCAGCCTTTACTTCTAAGTTTCATGTTTTAAAAATTTATATTACATAAATTTATTTTGGTACAGATGTCTTAAGACGAAATAATCAGAATATTTGCCTTAAAATATATTCTTTCTCCTGTTGCCAAATTCTGGATATAGCTGCTCTTTGGCAGATGCAAATTATTTGTGATAATTAGCTCATTGAGCCTGTCCTAGGAAGTTTCAAAGCCTGAATACACACATATTGCCTTAGCCTATTAATAGAGGACATGTATGAAGAGAATTTGTCTATTGCTGTTGTTGGACAAAATTTGATGTTTGTGTGTCTGATTTTTGTGTTTTTTTTTTCAAAGATGTGAATTTAATGAAAGTGTGGGAGCCAGTTAAGTTATTTTATGTAATGGGTGTTCTGGATCCTTTCACTTGATGTATCATTTTTTGTAAGGGTAACATTTGCAGGCTTGCTAATGGACCACAGAACTGAGCTGTATTAATTTTATACTTGACTCAGGGGATCAGTTCTGTGAACTCCATTGCATGAGGAAAGCAAATGCTTGCCTTGATTTTGAATGTACCTTTTTAATGTCTTCTGAAAACATATTTTGCTCAATAATGTGGGTTTATTTTCTTTTTCTAGTATCGTGGTAAACAATGCTTAGTATTTTTCCCTGTCCCTGGGGTTAGTTTACATACTACCCTACAGGTCATGCCAAAAATGAATAAAGTTTAAATGCCAAAATGTTTATGAAACTGCTGTCTAAATACTGATTGATTGCACAGTTTAAATAAAAGTTTTCCTTGGTTTAAAAAAAAAGAGAGAAGAAGAACCTGTGTTTCCTTTTATCCTTCAGTTTCTTTTGGGGAATGGAGAAGAAAAGCTTTGGATGAATAGAATGGTGGCTTTTGTATTCTGGAATATGGTGATCAAGTCTTACACCAAGCAGCAGAAATAGAATCCATTTAAGGTGAGAATGATTGCTCCTCTGCCATATCTTGTAGCAGCAAGAAAATGATAGTTATCCCATTGCAGTAAAAGATTGCTTGTCTGAGGGCCTAATGGTAGTTAGTGTAAAGGCTTTGGGCTTGTTTATGTGAATGCCATCCTAATTCAAGACAAAGATT